AGAATTTCTGGTTTTCATAATAAAGTCGTCTCTTTTTTTCCTGATTCAAGTGTTTTAGGTCTTTGCAAAAACAGATGAAACAGATCAAAACTTCACTGAACAGATAGAKTTTGGACCGAACTGCAGGAGTCGGCTTCACTCAGCAGGACGTGACCATCACGTCGACTGGTTTCTGCGGTCTCTTTTGGTGGTTTTGTCAGTTTCTAAGCTTCAGGTGTAAAATCTCCAGTCAGGAATTTTTTTTTTTTTTTTTTTTTTTTTTTTTTTTTTTTTTTTTGCAGAACAGTGTTGAGCTCTGCAGCTTTCACCTGATACGTTTCCTCTGTTGACTCACTCTTAATTCTCTTGGGTAAATTTGACAGTCAAACTGTGTTGGTTAGCACTGTTTGGAGCTTTAGGACCAGATGTTGTTAACTTACGGCCCTGCTGCCCAACTCCTGTAGTCTGATTGTAAATATAAGAGGTTTAAAACATGACATTACTGATCACTGTCAGAAAACTGAGGTATAAAAGTTAGAGGACATTTTTACAGCTTTTAAAAAGCTTGATTGTTGCCAAAATGAACATTTAACGTAAAGTCTCTATRTTTCTGAACTTTTCCAATGGTTAGACTTAAACTTTTTTTTGCATATTTTAATTATTTGTGATTCAGGTCTTCTTCACACCTGCACTGTTTAGTCCGATTTAATCAAACTCCAGTTCGTTTGCCAGGAAAGTCCGGTTCGTTTGTGGAGATGTGAATGCGTAATCAAACTCTGATTCAGACCAAAACAGTGAACTCTGGTCCGCCTGAAAATCTAGGTCTCGGTTCGATTAAAACGAACTCTGGTGCGGTTCGATTGCATGTGTGAACACCAAGCGGACCAGAGACCGCTCCAAAAGCAGGAAGNTTTGCAGTTTTTCAAATCATTCACGTTAGCACCTTTGGGTTATATAACAACTCCCACCCTATAAGACTAAAATAATTATTAGAAAATGGCAACAACTGAGGATAAGAAGAATAAATTATTTTTAAAGACATGTTTTTGTGTTGATAAGAAGTAAAGCTGGGTTAAACAGCTTCTTATAATTTCAGTGAATCTGAATCAGTCCAGTGTTATTACAGCAATTCTCGAATCCACGTGATTTTCTCAAAAAATGTTTTGTTCTGTTTGTCAGTTATTGGGTAACACATCTGTCTATCTAAAAATAAACCTTGTTAATTAGTTCACATTGGCTGTCAGTCAAAATACCAGCATCTGATTGGTCTAAATCATAGTTAAAGGGATGACACCGCAAACTTATTTTACAATTGGCTACCTAACTGACCAATCACACGCTATCAGTCAGTTAATTGGTTGATTTTTATGTCAATCACAGTTGGCTTCACAGTTATTGGCTGACTTTTTTAAGTAGGCGGTAACATTTGGGGGAAAACGCGTTTCCTTGTCTGTCATTTGCAAATCAAACGAAAAGAGCTGTCGACTGTTGATTATAAATATCTATTTCCTATATTTAAATTCCTGGATAATTTACAGCGCAAATGAAGTCGATATTTGATTTAGCTGCGCTAGCTTGATGATAAAACTAGCTTTTTTCTCATCATCGTGAGCTCGCCTGATTTGACTGCGCTCTGCCCGGACTGGTCGTGCTTTCCGAACACACCGCCTCTGTGGCGATGGCTACAGATTTACTTTCTGATTTGGACACCCGATTCTTTGCCGATAACCTTCTGACGAGCGAAGACTGGGGTGAGTTAACCGTACGGCGTTTATAAGTTGAATAAATAAAAGGTTAGCAATGTAAGCTAACGTGATACGGATGTAGCTGCGTCGGCGATGCTAACGCTGGGCGTTACAGCTACTTAGCATCCTTATTTATAAACATCTCCCCACTTTTAGCTCAGTCTTTAAGACGTAAAGTATTTTATTTAATTATTTTCGAGAAATGGGTGAAAAAGATCAAATGCACGCGGTCTCTGCGTCAATGTGAGCGTGCTTCCTYAAACCCGGACATGCGTGTTTTATCTGCTGAAACGTGATGACACATTTTATATAACTACTTCTTATTTTTTTACACTTAAAATATCGACTTTTTCTGCTTTTACTTTCACGTTTCAAGTCTACACTTAATGTCTTTGTTTAGATAGTGTGTGAAAGGTGATTTCGAGCTGTGCTCACTTTGGTTTGTTGACCTTTTTTAACATGTAGTGCCAGTCATCACTCACTCACTAAAACTAATTTTAATTTACCTGGACATCAACCATGATTATAAAACGTTATTTCCTTACAAAACCTTAGAAAATATATGGGAATCAATTGTCTGTTCAATTTAAACAGCATCAAATACGGATTACCCTACTGATATAATAATTGTTTTTACAAAATGATGCATTTGAATAACTTCAATAATCTTTAAAATATTTAATACTGGCTCTTCCCTATCTAAGCTAAGCATTTGCCATTATAATTTTACACGAATTAAAACACATTCAGCGGCATGTTGTGCAAAATACTACATTATTTTTATTTTATATACCTTCTTTCTGAGGTCAGCTACATATTTGTTTTGGTTGAAATGAAATGAACAAC